TGTCACATAGTGGAGTGAAGTCTTTCATCTAGCCAGAACAAAGATGTGTCAGGACAAAGTAAGATCTCACAGGTTTCCTCAGGCATTAATGGCATTTTTCCCTATTTCAAAAGTTGGCGGCTGATAAAAATGGTTTAAAGGAAATTGAAGCTGACATAGAAAAGTAAAACTTCTAAGTAAAAGAAAGTGACTCATACACATTAGGAGAATTTCCATATGATTCTTATTCTTTGTTCACTGCAAAAATTGGAAGAACATCCAATTTAGCTCAGTCTAATCTCGCTAATTTTGCAGCCATATGGAACCAGGGGCCAGATTCTTAACCGGAGACCCTGATTTGAATCCAGTTGTATGCTTGAGTTTTATTAGAGATCACGTCTCACATGTGGATTGTATAGTTAAACCAGCAACTCCCCTTTCCACACTGCATCCCCTGCCGGCTACAGGCAGCCTGGCACTACGCTGCGGTATCTGTGCTTACACTGAAAGCTGCTTGCTAGCAGAATAATGTCATCATGGTCAAAGAGGAACACAATGGTTCAATACAGATTTGAGCAAAATGAAATTACATCTTATCTTTAAATCCACTGGAGGTTTTATATAGTCACACTATCAAGCAGTTACTTCTCCAAGGAAAGGTTACAAGAGGGAGTTTAACGTGCCAGTGTACAGATTGAATGCCTTGAAAAAGTTGAAAACAGTGGTCCCTGAGACTTTTCAGCCTTTCTATAGAGCATGGCACATCTTGAATGCATAGCTCAAATATATTTACAGTTTCACATTGTGCCTAATTTATTTGAACCAAAGTTTTCATGAGTGTAAACACTATTGAGGCTTAATCCCATAGATGTTCTAAAAACTTGCATATATGAATGCATATATAATATTACTACCACACAGTGAGTAAAAATAAAAAGAAGAGTTAGCATGTTTGTATAGAAAAAGCAGTTTGCAGGGCAACAAAAAATGTCAGCAGCCCCTCCCAAACAAAAAAATCTATGTCTGATCAAAATCATCCATGTCTGTATAAAGGGACATGGGAGTGACAGTCAGTAAAACAGACATATTTGCAGTATAGATAATGGGCAAAATGGTTCTTATCTCTACAGATCACAGACAGTGCTGAAGTGTCCTCGCAGATTCCAACTTATCCTAAAGTCCAATGTGTGTTCGTGCCTCCATGTGCCTGTATACCATCTACAGCTCTTAACACCAGTACCCTGTTCCACACACACATACCACAGAAATTGATAAACTTTTACTGCCTGATGGGGGGAATTCAAACCTCAACCATGGGTTCAACAGTCTAAAATGAGTGTTTGGGGAATCTTTGCTGCACTGATATGCTCTGCAACATATTATATTCAAATTGACCACATTTCCTGTCCCTATACAGAATTAAGGGCATCATATGCATGTTTTGATGAAAAAAAATGGGATAGATCTTACCAAAAAGTAAATGCATCCTTAAATTGAAATATTATGTGGTCAGGGCTGGATATTCTCTGTCCTGCCTTTTTTACGGCAAATTCCTTACTGCACTGGGGGATGGAGTTGAGTACTTGGGTTTGCAGCTGGGCATTCAACACCTTGCTCTGATGGTCTTCTAAAAATTTCCTTTTTTCAGCTTATTTTTCTTAAAATTGCTTTAGTCTTCTCTGGAAGAGAATGAAGCCTCTCCAGAGACAGTAGCTTTACAGTTTGAAAAGAATCGCTTTGGAGGAAAAAAAAGTATGACTTTAAAAGAGACAAACACTTTCAGTCCAACAGAAATAGGCCTTAAATATAGTGGCAACTTTGTGTGATGTAGTTATATCAATTATTTTGACAAAGTGATAGCAGCAAACAGAAGGTACATAAAATGTTTTGGGGGTTATTTATTTTTTAAAACAAAATCCTAAACTGTAGATGGGGGAGTCCTTTGACTGTCTGGATTTAATTCTAGAAAAGAATTTTCCATTAATCTGGATGATACCTCTGTGCATAAGCCTGCTTATGTACTTTTTTTTTGAGGCAATTAGGTGGCAATGAAGGTGCTGTAGTTGGTTATCTAAACACAACCAGGAAATTACCTTGAAACCATGTACTGGAACAATTGTAAGTATTAGTCTTTCTGCTTTGAAAATAGATTGTACACAGACCTTAGCTCACAGCAGAAAGAAATTTCAGTCTTTTTTTCTTGAATTTTAGTCTAAATTCAGTCTAAATCCACCATTTTTTTCCTAAGAATTTTTACAGAAATGATACTGATGTGTTTTGTCTTTCAAGCAAATCAATAGGTTTTTTATGTTTGCTTTTGTTATGATGTAACAGAATTAGCAAATGGTTCTACAAATAAGCCCATCTTAACATGCAGAGCTGAACACCATGTTGTCTGTCTTACTGAAGCGTAATTGCTTTGATAGAGTAGCTTCTGGGAAAGCGGTACCTTTAAATGCCTCCATACTAATTTCCCTTGATGTTCAAAGCATAATGGACAGGGAAGAATCCCCCAAATGTTTTCCAAAGCACTCAGATCCATCAATCAGAAGAAATGAGTCCAAAGAAATGTACAGAACTGCACCTCAAGTCTACCACAGTGAATGTTCATTTTCATCCTTCCTTGCTCCTTAAAAAAGTTACAGAAAATTGCACAGCAACAAAGAGTTTCCATTTCATTTCATAATGAAGAACAATGTAGAAAGCAGCCCACCTGTCATTTTACTGAAAGATACGGGAACACCTGTGGCAACACCTCCAGAAATTCAGCACCTGTTTCTTTTTTTTCTCAGAAAACCCCCAAACCCAGTAAAACCGGGGTGGATTCCTATTACAGTGACCAAATTACTTGATGGTAAGGGGATGGTAAAACAGAGTTCTGATGATCTAATAATTAAAATTTTATATGCTTCTGAAAGCCTGTGTCTTTATGTTACTAAGGAAGGAGTTCTTTCACTCTCTAAAGTATAAACGTAATTTCAGCCTTAGGATTACATCTGACTAAATATAGATACCTATGCTCGACTGCCTAGGAAAGTAAATGGGAAGGAATTATGTCAACTGTCCCCGCTGGTTCCTCTTCAACCTGTTGTTTGACTTCAATATTAAGTCAGTTTGCAGCCTTTGAGTAGGTGTGTTGCTGCTCCACACTAAGCAGGTATAATTACATTCTGCAGAGCAGCATCAGAGGCAGTGCCCAAACGTCCCTGGCAAAGCCTTTGTATGTAAGCAAGACACGTCGGATCGCCGCTGAATAACCATGATCCAGCCTCCAGCTTTTCGTATGTGCTGTCAGCCATGAAAAGAAAACACTTAAATGTCAAACGACATAACCGGCTACAGTGTATTTAACAAATGAGTCGGGGGTGTCGGTCCGCCCCGGGCGCGGCGCGGCCGTGTCCGCAGCTATCCCTCGTCCCGCGGCCGCAGCTCCCGGGGCAGCGCCGTGCCCGGCACGTGTGCGGGATGGGAGCGGCCGCCCAGCCCCGCGTGGGTGGGCACCGGGGAAAGGAGGCACCTGGGGCGGGGGGGGGGGTTGCTGGAAGTTGGGTAGGGCGGCCACGCCGAGAAGCCCCCGCCCGACTCGGGCCGCGTATGCTGCCGGGCACAGCCCCGTCTCCAGGAGCCGCAGCTTCACAGCCCAGAAAAGCCGTGCGCCTTCCTCCCCCTCCGCTCCCTTCCCGCGGAGGCAGCCGGGTGGCGTTGCCCTGCGGACCGCGGCAGCGGCAGGAGCCGGGCAGAAGAGGGATGGATGCCACCGGGCTGGCGAGGAGCTGCAGCCGATCCTTCGGACCGGGCAAAGCTCCCGCCCAGCTCCTGGGAGCACGGGCTGGCCTCCCACCGCTTTTTCCTGCGGATCACGGCCGGAAGCGGGGGCACCATGCCGTGCCTCCCGGGCGGCCAAGGGGACCCGGCCGTAGGCACCCGCCGGACGGGGAAGGCTTCAGCCTCGCCCGCCAACCCGGGCGCCCTGCTCCCCTCTGCTCCAGCCGCCCCCACACCGAAAAAAGCAGCGAGAAAAATAAAATGGTGGTAACGATTTAAAGCGCCTTGGAAGGGTTAAGGGAGCCTCAGACAGTACAAATCGCAAGGGAAACCGTCCTCCCGGAGGCAGGCAAAACAACCGAGAGCGAGGTGGGAGAAAGCAGAGGCTGTAACAGGGACAGGTGCTCAGCTGCGAGCTGCCTCACTCCCTCCCTCCCTCTCTCTCTCAATAACACATAGACTCGCATCTCTCCCAGCATGAAAAAGCGCAAGGCTAATGAGAGGCGAAGTGAATAATGGGGAAGTTGTTGTCTCCAGCGATGAGGCAAGTGATGGGGCTGAGGCCAGCACTGAAGTTGTGTAACCAAATTCTCCACCATCACCCCCTCGTTTCTCCTCCCTCCTTGATTTTTAAGGAGAAACACAGCTGGGGGTGGGAGACTCTCCCCACCGCACGCCGAGGAGAGAGGAGCCCTCTTCCCTCAGGCAGGCAGCTGGCGGAGGTGTCCCCGACGCCGCATCCCCGCCTCCGCGCAACTTGCGGGGAGCGGAGCCGGCTGAAGGCAGGCGGGGGCGGCTCTCCGCGGCCACCCACTCCGCGCTCCCCCCGAGCACGGCAAAAGCCGGGGAGGCGGGAGGAGGGGAGATCCAAACTTGCCAGCTCGGGGACTGTCCCTCACACGGCAGCGAGTGCCGTTCGTGCGTGCGCGGGGAGAGAAGTGTTCCCAAACTCCGGCGCTGCCCAGGCGGCTGGATGCGCGCGGTTCCGCTCGCGGCGCCGCAGCGGCTGCTGCCCAACGCCGGGGGGCTGCCTTCTCCCAGGGGAAGTGACCGGCCAGGAGCCGAGCCCTCGGGGAACACCAGCGGGAGGTGGGAGGCAGGGAGAAGGGAGACCGGGCTCGAAGAGCCTGCTGTTTCCCGGCGCAGAAACGAAGCGAGGGAGAGAGCTCAACCGAGCGGCAGGGATTTAGCTGAGGGGGGAATCAGTGCCGTAACCACAGCCTACACGAATCCAGAGCAAGAAACCCGAATCTTACCCTGAGCTGCAGTGAGGAGCCCCGCGCAGAAAACCAGCAGAGACTTGAATTTCTTCCACGCAGTCATGTCTGCAGTTATTCCACACACACACACACTCTCACGCAAAACCCCCGGTGGCTCTTCTCGGCTGCGACCGTGTCCTCCGAGCGGCAGCGGGGCTAAGGACAGCGCCAAATAACCACCACAGGGCGAGGAGAGGCGGAGAGGAGCGGTCCGGGTCCCGAGCGCCGCGCAGCGCCCGGCGCCTCCTGCAGGACTGCGCGGGCGGCTCGCTCGGCTCTGCTCTCAGACAGCATCAGTCCCGCGCCGCGCCGGGGCTGCGCCGCTCAGCGCCCGCGGAGCCCCGGCGCCGCCGGCCCGCCGCCCGCCCAGGGGAGGGGAGGGCGCGCACGGAGGGAGGGGAGGCGCGCCCGGGGCCGCGGCAGCGCGGCGTGCACGGCCGCCGGCGGGGAGAGCCGGCCAGCGGCGGCGGCGGCGGCAGGAGAGGGATGCGGGGAGTGCGAGGAAGAGGAGGAGGAGAAGAAGGAGGAGGAGAGGAGAGGGAGGGAGGGATCGCGGCGAGAGCAGCGCAGGCAGCGCAGCGGAGCGGCTGCCAGCCACACGAGAAGCCGCTGCCGCCGGACTCAACCATCCCTTCCCGCTGATAGGGGAAGGGGCCGGCGCTGCGCAGCCGGAGCACGACGGGCCCGCAGCCGCCCCGCTCCGCTGGACGGCCCCGCACGGACCCCCGGGGCGGCCCCGGCCTTACTCCCGGCCGCGTCCCCGGGCGGCTCCTGCCGCCCGCCGAAAGCCCCAGGGGAAGAAGGCTTTCCCTGGCCCGGTGCCCCCTGGCGCGGGGAAGGGTAACGGCTGCAGGGCTACACCTGCACGGAGGACTCCTGCTGCGATTCCCTGGTATCCTGTCCCCCGGCCCTGCCTGCAGTCCGGCACCCTCAGCCACATGTGGGGTGTGGGTGGTGCGGGTGCTGGAGTCCCTTGTCCTAGGTGAAACTCTCCTCTGCTTTTGTACCCACTCGTGAAAGAGGAAGGTTTTCAGGTCCAAAATGTTCCCTGCTCGTTCCTTCCAACTTGCTTATCAGAACAAGCTGTCGTTCCTATGGGGCGGGAGAGGAGCCAATGTCTCCTTGAGGAACACCGCTTTGTCTGTATGTTGCCATTCCCGAGAGCTCCTGTTGCCAAGAGGAATTTCTGCCATTAACAATCCTTTCCAAAACTAAGGAAAAACCAGTCAAAATGTGGCATGGCAGGTGCACACAGAGGCTTCCCCACCACCACCCTGGAGCAGGCAGGGTTGGTTCCCTGAGCCTGAAGGAAAGGCGTTGGTGACCTGGGTCTGGTCTGTCACAGATCCCTGTGCTCCATGGCCCCAGCAGGTGATGTCCTTTGCCAGCAAGGATTTCTGTGCCAGGATTACTAGCAAACGGGTGGCGAAAAAGTGACTTTAAATCTAGTAAGAATTGGAAAGATTGTCACCAACACTGCACACTGGGCCTGACTTCATAATTAATGCTCACCTATATCCGTAATTAAAACACAAAGGCTCATAGGAAGGAAAGACAGAAACGCAAGCTCTTTTGGAAAGGTAGTTTCAAGGTTGTAATTATTCACTTATGATGAGTTTTCTTTCGTGGTGAAATATGCAAAGTTGTTTTCTCAATGTAAGTTGCAAGAAGGTGGTGAATGGGCACTGAACGAGGTAGGCTGACTTTGTAATAAGCTTGTATTTATGTAAAAAGGTTGTGGTTCTCGCTTGGAAAAAAAAAAATAAATTAACAAAGCAGGGCTAGGCAGCTTGCCGAAACAGACGTGGCATTGCTGCCATCTCGTGGCAAGCGCTCTCTCCCTACTGCGCCAGGGCTGCAGTCCCTGCCCTACCTTTCCCCACAGCTCCCAAACCCACTGCACTCCTAACACTTCCACAGGAGGGATCCGGTCTTAGTATTCATCCATATTTTAAGAACGGCTCGGGGACTCATTTTTTACATTCGTGAAAGTAAAGTAATGCTAATACTTGTTAGTACCAGACATCATGTAGCCAAGCTGCTGTGCAGAATTCCCCAGTCAGAGCTGCTCAGGCTCCTCATGTCTCAGGCCCTTCCACTTATCCTTGTCAGCAGACAAGGGGGAATTCACTAATGATTGTGAGAAAGACAGATATGGACACTAAGCTTAAGCTGGGACTCTTGCTTTCTGGCCTGCAGTAATCTGAGGCTTAGATTTCTGAAATGCAGAAATTTTTGCATTGCATCTGGCCCAAGAGATCACAGTAATTTTTAGTTTTGTTTCATTGTATTTTCTATTAGATTAGAATATTAAAAAAGTTATAAATGAATCCCGTTTATAGCTGTCTGGGTCTAGTTGAAAGCAATAATGATGGTAACATTTCTTGCTGTGCTGTTTAAATAAGCACTCTTAATTTGAGAAGTTGCTGTTTAATCCTGCTCATGGCAGATTCTGCAGAAGCTCCAGAATGATATAATATGTACTTTCTTGGTCTTGACTCACACGGCTTAGATTTACTGTTTCCTGAGGCTTTCTGTTCTTCTGAGGATTTTCTGGGCTTTATTGAGCTTTTGGGACCAGATTCCTTCTCTATTGAGCTATTCGAGTGTTAATTTCTTCCCTTCATAGCACCTAGGTAAGGCAAAAAAACTAGGCACCACAATCACTATCACTGCAAAAGATGCTTTCTTTCCTTTCTTACGTCCTCTGATAGTAAACCATATGCATAAACATTGTTGACCTTTAGTATATTATCACTTGTCACCTGATTTAGTGCCTTGCTGAGATAAACAGGGCAGCACAGACTCCCCAGACAAGATTTCAGCCTCTCTGCAGACTCCAGTAGCTGTAACAGTGACTTTTACAAACCCTGTGTGACATAAAAGTTTTGGCAAAGCCAAAAAAGCCAGAAGATGACTATGGAACTGAAGGAATCCCCAACAACCTGACTTGAGCTCAGTGTGGAACTGCAGTACCTAAATACGGTAATTACAGAATATGATCTAACCTAATGACTGTAATCTCTCTGTTGTATATTAAGTGCCTAATGTACTGATGTAAAATCCACGAATTTATGAGTTTGAACAGAGGCAATATTTCTCTCTATTCCCTATAGACAGTATGGAGGAGTGTATATGTCAAGACTGTTTGTACTAATCAGGGTGATTTAAAGGTAGCTTGACAGGGATTTATTTTCAATTGAGAGTTTGTCCTTTTACTTCCCTATGCCATATAAAAAAGAGGTCTGAAAGGTTAGGTTTCCTCTTTTCTTTTTATTTTTTTTTCAGCTTGTTATGTTAATAATATTGAATCCATATTTCCCTGTTGTCATTTTATGGGAGGAAGAAGCATTATTCTGTAAGGTGCAGGAATATTTGCTCATATCTAAGCAAAAGTACTGATTCAGAATACAGCTGAAAATGTACTATATACTCATTAAAAAGGGATGTTTGTGGGAACCTATAACCAGAATTTGTACTTGCCAGTAGACACAGAAGTCTGTAGCTTTTTGCCAGAAGGTTACTGTGAAGTTAAAAATGTGAAAGCTTAAAAATTCAAAAAATTATATTGAGGGGGAAAAGTCTATAAGAGAAATCTTCAGCAGAACACAGATTCCACATGAGGAAATCAGAAAGTAGAACTGTTTTCTCCATAAGCAACTTCATGATTTTTATTTTTTTTTTGTCACATAAGCTCTTTAGTTGTGGTCAAAACCAGAGACCAGAGTTCCAAATACTCTCACTTAACACAGTCTTTTTTCATGAGCTGCTTTCAGACTTCAAAAATCTGATTTTGCATGATTTCTCTAGTATATATAGCATAATCATCTTCCGGGCTGGAAAAATAAAAAATATTTTTTATCTACATATGTTCCTCACCCCAATTTGTTATACCATAAAGAATAAAAAGCAGGCCATGCTACCCACAGTCTGTCTACAGTTGGAAATTTTGTTGCTTGGGTTCAGACTTGACTCTGCTTTCTTTTTGTGGTAACATTGTCTCCAAACTACATCAGTCCTGTAAGACTGACAGTGATGAGACTACAGCTGCATCAACTACATCTGCAACATCAGCTACAACGACATTGTTTTATATACGGTACCAGCACAGGCCAATAAATGTAAGTATCAATAGTCTTCTAAACTGGAAAAAGAAGGAGAAAATGGAAAACATGGTCACAGGCTGGCAGGAGGGACACTTCAGGGGAATATTGGTCAGCAAGAGAAAAGATTACAATAATGTTGTTTAGGAGGGCCACTAGGCCTAAAGTGATTGCTCTGCTACATTTTATTCCCCTCTGGAGTGCTTAGTTTAGGGGGAACAGTTGGCAAGACTGGAGAAGGAAACATATGTTGCCTGTTTTAAAGTGCTTTACTTAGTTCTTCAGGGGAAGGCTCCAGCACACTGCTTCTTTTCTAAGCGTCTACACTGATCCCATCTGTCCTTAAGGTGACATATAATTGATGTTAGGAAGACGAGACTTCTGAAAGACGTTTCTGCCTTTGAGGGAAGGTGGGATTTGTAGTAAGTAGCCTTCAGGGTGCCTAATAGGAGACAACATCAAGGTCATTCCACTTAGGTACTGTTGCTCAGAGGTTAAAACATTTTGGCTCTTGAGGGTTAAGAGACACAAAGGGAACTTTGTTGAAGCCATTCAAGGAAAACAGATTATTTGTTTTCTAGTTAAGCATAAGAAGATCCTGCAAAGTATGAGGTTTGGCTACGCGAGAAGGTTTGAAACAGTCTACTAACGAGGGTAACCGTAGCTCACATGATGGTCTAAACAGACAAGTAAGTCAGTATCTTGACAGAGAGTAAAATGTGACAGTGTGGAGAATGAAAAGTAGTAACTCCTATCAGATGGGAGAGATAAGGGAGAACCAGAGAAATGAGGTCAAGAATAGCTCAGAAAACAAAGTTTTCTGGCAGAAATCTCATTGGCTATGGGGAAGGGCAAGACTGCATTTCTCAGAGCTGGAAAAAATACTGCTATTATTGAGACAGGATAATAGATGTCTGGTTGTGAGTAGACTTTGGTCATACCTTTCAGGAGGGCTCCATACCTGCGTGTATGGAGAGTCTGGTTACTTCATGTGAGCTGTCTTGCCGAGGACTGACCATGGTGCTGAATGATGTACGGCTATGGAGTGTCTTAATTATGAGCACACACTGACATATTAAAAAAGCGCTTGGTTTAGCATTTAGTGATCTGCTGTAGCTTGAGCTGCAATGGCTCTTCCATACTATTTGTTTAAGGATTTGGAAGAGTCAGTCTTCA